CAGTTGCTTTTCGAGGTGCCCGGGTCAGATGTGCTCTGCTCAGGCTGATGTCTGGGTTGTCCTAACCAAGGGCCCTTTTCTCTCCCTGCAGGAAACCATTCAGATGCTGCCCAGGTTTTGCTTCCCTTTCGATATCGAGAGGTATGCAGTGGGGTGTCGAACTCATTTGTTCTGAGGGCTGGATCTGACATAAAGGAGTCCTTGTTGGGCCGGGCCACGTCGGTCATAATACGTAATGCCCGGTAGCGGAGATATTAAACTTTATAAAGAAGAAGAAGAAGAAGAAGAGATTGGATTTATACCCCGCCCTTCACTTGGAGTCTCAGAGCGGCTTACAAACTCCTTTCCCTTCCCCCTCCCCACCACAGACACCCTGTGAGGTAAAAGAAGAAGAAGAAGAGATTGGATTTATACCCCACCCTTCACTACGCAAAGGTGTCTCAGAGCGGCTTACAGACTCCTTTCCCTTCCTCTCCCCACAACAGACAACACCCTGTGAGGTAAAAGAAGAAGAAGGATTGGATTCATACCCCATGGCCCTTCCCTACCCAAAGGAGTCTCAGAGTGGCTTACAAACTCCTTTCCCTTTCCCTTCCCCTCCCCACAACAGACACCCTGTGAGGTGGGTGGGGCTGAGAGAACTCTGACACAAACGGCTCTTTCAGGAAGAGCTGTGCCAGAGCTTGTGACTGTCCCAAGGTCACATCAGCAGGTGCAAGTGGAGGAGTGGGGAATCAAACCCGGTTCTCCCAAATTAGAGTCCGCGCACTTAACCACTTCAACAAACTAGCTCTCACAAACACAAAGGTTTTTTTTTTTTTACTTAAAATAAAAACATGCTTAAAACATTCGCTCTGTCAGCTGCAAGCCTGCTTTTGATTTATTGACATTCGCCACAGAGATCTCATGCTCAGTTCTGAGTCTAGGACCGAGGGGAAAACATGAAATGGCTGAGCGATTGAGAGAGTCTGGCGAAGCAAGCTGTGATGCAGCGGGAGCAGCAGAACTGGAAGCAGGAGACGGCCAGTTCCACTGCGGGCCTGATGGAAGCCCTCCGGGGGCCTAGTCCAGCCCCCGGGCTGCATGTTTGACACCCCTGGACTAACACTCACATGCGCTGGAGATGGGACACAGCCAGATATTTTGGAGCCATGAGAAAACTAGGTTTTTGTTCCTGGTGGAGGTGGATTAAGACAAACCAAAAACAAAAAAGCCATTTGGGGGAGAATTGAAATATCTGTACAACTTACTTTCCCATCTAAACTAAGGTCATTTTCGTGCTTTAACAACATAAGATGCATAATTTATAACTGAGTGTATCAAATTGTCGTAATGGTTCTAAAAAGGCACGTCTTTCATTCCAAAAGGGGGAAAAAATCCACAAGAGTTTCCCCCCCAGCGTTCTGTTAGAGTCACTGGTATGGAATGACCAGGAATCTCTATTGGTCGCAGGGTGCACTAAGCTTACACGCAGCAGCAGCGTCTCAGTACTGTGTGTGCTAGCAAAGCTACAAAGTTACTCAGAACCACTGGTAAGTTTCAAGTAACAAGAATTCTTTATTTAGGGAACTCCATTCTAGATAGTATAGGGGAGAGATAGGGTTAGAATGTAATCTAACTAGCTAGGATGGATACAGATGCATGTGCTGCAGAAATGCTCCCCCAACAGGCACAAAGTTGTGCTGCAGCCGGCTGCTGCAGCACAGGTGCCGCATAATATTGCTCTGCCCAGAAATCTTGGTCCTTTTAGCTGATCTGTCATACTCCCCTTCCCCACCAATGTCTCTGAAATATCTCCTCTCTCTCCTGCCCAGGGTTAAGGAGAGCCCCGCAGTCCAGCATTTCACCTTTGCGCTCACTGACCTGGAAGGGAAACAACGCTTCGGCTTCTGTCGGCTGGCCAAGGGCTTCCGCACCTGCCTGTGCATCCTCAGGTAGAAGGATGGGCGAGTGGGCGTCAACATGGCAAATGGGGTTCAATGTGGCCAAGTGCAAGGTGATGCACATTGGAGCCAAAAATCCTAAATATAAATACACATTGATGGGGTCTGAACTGGCAGAGACTGATCAAGAGAGAGATCTTGGAGTTGTAGTGGATAACTCACTGAAAATGTCGAGACAGTGTGTGACTGCAATAAAGAAGGCCAATGCTATGCTGGGGATTATTAGGAAGGGTATTGAAAACAGATCAGCCAATATAATAATGCCCCTATATAAATCAATGGTGAGACCTCATTTGGAATACTGTGTGCAGTTCTGGGCACCACACCTTAAAAAGGATATTATAGCTTTGGAAAAAGTGCAGAAAAGGGCAACTCGAATGATAAAAGGGTTGGAACACTTTCCCTATGAGGAAAGGTTAAAGCGCTTAGGGCTCTTTAGCTTGGAGAAAAGACGACTGAGGGGTGACATGATCGAGGTTTATAAGATTATGCATGGGAAAGAGCAGGTAAAGAAAGAGGTACTTTTCTCCCTTTCTCACAATACAAGAACTCGTGGGCACTGCATGAAACTGCAGAGCGGTCGGGTTAGAACGGATAAAAGGAAGTACTTCTTCACCCAAAGAGTGATTAACACATGGAATTCACTGCCACAGGAAGTGGTGGGTGCTACAAGCATGGACGGCTTCAAAAGGGAATTAGATAAGCATATGGAGCAGAGGTCCATCAGTGGCTATTAGCCACAAGGTATAGCTAGGGGCTCTGGGGCAAGTGATGCTCTGTCTTCTTGGTGCTTGGGGGGGGGGTCAACAGTGGGAGGGCTTCTAATGTCCTGGCCCCACTGCTGGACCTCCTGATGGCACTGGTATTTCTGGCCACTGTGTGACACAGAGTGTTGGACTGGATGGGCCTTTTTGCAAGAGTGCTGATGTTTTAAGCATGTTTTTGTTTTAAGTTAAAAAAACCAAAACCTTTGTGTTTGTGTCCTTTATGAAGTTTATATCTCCACTACGTGGCATGATATTTTATGACACACCCGGCCCGGCCCGACAAGGTCTCTCATTTATGTCAGATCCGGCCCTCAACACAAACGAGTTCGACACCCCTGACCTAGGGAATTATATCTGTGCTCCGGCCCCTCCCCTCCCCAAACTCCCCCCTCCCCCAGGTTCCACCGCAAGTCTCCAGGAACTCCCCAGAGTGCCAGCTACGCTGCCTTGGGGGTTGGGAAGATCTGTGGACTACTGATTGCCGCTGCATTCTTTCTGCGCTGCTTAGCTGCTTAGCAGTCCAGAGGCAGAGAAAGATCTTCCCCAGTTCTACTTTGGAGATTCTTTTCACACCAGGTGTGTGTGCTTACTTTGTTAATTTAATTCTTTTTAACTTGATTTACATCCCACCTTCCACCATAATGGAGACCCAATGTGGCTTCACTTCCTTTTCCTCTCCTCCATTTTATCCTCACAAGAACCCTGTGAGGTGGGTTAGGCTGAAAGAGGAGGAGGGAGGAGGATGGATTTATACCCCAGGGCCCTTCACTGCCTGAAGGAGTCTCAGAGCGGCTTCCAATCTCCTTTCCCTCCTCCTCCTCACAACAGGCACCCTGGGAGGGAGGTGGGGCTGAGAGAGCTCCTTTGAGGAGTGCCCTTGAGAGAAGAAGAAGAGGAGGAGATTGGATTTATACCCCGCCCTTCACTACCCAAAGGTGTCTCAGAGCAGCTGACAAACTCCTTTCCCTTCCCCTCCCCACAACAGACACCCTGTGAGGAAGGTGGGGCTGAGAAAGCTCTTGACAGAAACTGCTCTTTTTCAAGAACAGTTCTGACAGAGCTATGGCTTGCCCAAGGTCATCCAGCCAGGTGCAAGTGGAGGAGTGGGGAATCAAACCCAGTTCTCCCAGATTAGAGTCCGCGCACTTAACCACTACACCAAACTGGCTCTCAGAGAACAGCTCTGAGAGAACTTGTGACTGACCCAAGGCCACACCCGCAGCTGCATGTGGAGGAGCGGAGAATCAAACCCGGTTCTCCCAGATTAGAGTTTGCACTCCTGACCACTACACCAAACTGGGCCAGAGTGACTGGTCCAAGGTCACCCAGTGGGAGAAGGTCACTTTTATGGAACAAGTGGGGATTTGAACCCAGGTCTCACAAATCCTAGTCCCGAGCAATGCTCCCTCTAAGCTGTGGAGTCTTGTGAGCAAAGATTCTACTTTGTGAGCTGCCGGCATTACAGTTGTGAGCGAGCCATTTGGCTGCTGCCTAAATTAGTTTGCTCTGGAGCCCCATCCTTCCTGAGCGAAGACAAAAATGTGTGAGCCGGAGGCTAAAAAATTGTGAGCTGGCTCACACTCACTCAGCTTAGAGGGAACATTGGCTCCCGAGTCTTTAACCACTGCCCCTCTTTGGCTCTCCTTAACAGTCCGTTCTGCTCCTTACAGTTACCTCCCTTGGTTTGAAGTTTTCTACAAGATTCTGAACAACATCGCTGACCACTTAGCCAAAGAGCAGGTGAGACCAGGGGTCCCTCAGCTTCCCCGTCCCTCGCACCCCCACCTCCTCCTTCCCCCACAAACTCTCGCCTTTCTCTCCTCCCTCAGTTCACCGAACTGGACGAATTCCTCTCCACGCTGCATCTTCACCCTGTGCCGAAATTCAACAGCCCGGTCAGCCTTGAATTTGTAAGTATTCTCTTCTCGGACCTGTGAGAGCCCAGACAGGCCCGCAGCTTTGGCTATGGCTTTCCCCCGTTTTTGCTGACAGAGGGTGACTTACGTACAGGTTGATTCCAAGTATGAGCTTTCGGGTGCATGCACGCTTTTCCAAACACATGGGAAGGAAGGTAAGGGTCAAACCTATAGACGGGCTGACCAGCAAATTAACATGTAAACCTGATTAAGATGTTTTACGAACATAAGAGAGAAGCCAGTGTTGGATCAGGCCAATGGCCCATCTGGTCCAACACTCTGTGTCACACAGTGGCCAAAAATACCAGGTGCCCTCAGGAGGTCCAGTGGTGGGGCCAGGACACTAGGAGCCCTCCCACTGTTGCCCCCTCCCCCCAAGCACCAAGAAGACAGAGCATCCCTTGCCCCAGACCGAGAGTTCCTATCTATACCTTGTGGCTAATAGCCACTGATAGACCTCTGCTCCATATAAGAACATAAGAGAAGCCAATGTTGGATCAGGCCAGTGGCCCGTCCAGTCCAACACTCTGTGTCACACAGTGGCCAAAGATCCCAGGTGCCCTCAGGAGGTCCAGCAGTGGTCCAGCAGTGGGGCCAGGACACTAGAAGCCCTCCCACTGTTGCCACCACCCCCCTCCAAGCACCAAGAATACAGAGCATCCCTTGCCCCAGACATAAGAACATAAGAGAAGCCAATGTTGGATCAGGCCAGTGGCCCATCCAGTCCAACACTCTGTCACACAGTGACCAAAAACACAAGGGGCCACCAGAAGGTCCACCAGCAGGGCCAGGACACTAGAAGTCCTCCCACTGTTGCCCCCCCCAAGCACCAAGAATACAGAGCATCCCTTGCCCCAGCCTGAGAGTTCCTATCTATACCTTGTGGCTCATAGCCACTGATGGACCTCTGCTCCAGATGTTTATCCAGTTCCCTCTTATAAGAACATAAGAGAGAAGCCAATATTGGATCAGCCCAATGGCCCATCCAGTCCAACACTCTGTCACACCCGGAGCCATCAGGAGGTCCGGCAGTGGGGCCAGGACACCAGAAGCCCTCCCACTGTTGCCCCCACCCCCAGGCACCAAGACGACACAGCATCCCTTGCCCCAGACTGAGAGCTCCTATCTATACCTTGTGGCTAATAGCCACTGGTGGACCTCTGCTCCAGATGTTGATCCAATTCCCTCTTATAAGAACACAAGAGAAGCCAGTGTTGGATCAGGCCAAAGGCCCCTCCAGCCCAACACTCTGTGTCACACAGGGGCCAGAAATACCAGGTGCCCTCAGGAGGTCCAGCAGTGGGGCCAGGACACTAGAAGCCCTCCCACTGTTGCCCCCCCCCAGGCACCAAGAATACAGAGCATCCCTTGCCCCAGCCTGAGAGTTCCTATCTATACCTTGTGGCTCATAGCCACTGATGGACCTCTGCTCCAGATGTTTATCCAATTCCCTCTTGAAGCCGTCCATGCTTATAGCAGCAGCCACCTCCTGTGGCAGTTTAAGATATGCTAAGAGAAAACTAAATAACAAGCTAAGGTTATAAGGTCAACAGTTATAAAGCAATAAATATATCAAGTTAAGCCACGGAGTCCACCTTCCAAAGCAGCCATTTTATCCAGGGGAGCTGATCTATGTCAGCTGGAGATCTGTTCCAATCACAGGAGGCTGTCTCAATATAAAGACACTCCGGTGAATGGATGACGAACAAAAGCAGGAAGATTCTGTTGTACAAAACAATTCAAACAGTTTAAAATCTTTGTTAAAGTTCAGCAAACCCAGGGCTTTTTTGGTAGAAAAAGCCCAGCAGGAACTCATTAGCATAACAGGCCACACCCAACAGCAGGAACTCCTTAGCATACTGGGCCACACCCCTGACAGCACAGCTCATTGGCATATTAGGCCACACCCCCATGTCACCAGCTGTGTAGTCATCCAGCCACACCCACCTTTTGCTTCTTATTCTACCTTGTTTGTTGTCCAAACCCAGAGCCTTTTTTCGTAGCAGGAACTCCTTTGCATGTTAGGCCACACACCCCTAATGGAGCCAATCCTAATGGGTTTCTGCTGTTGGGTGTGGCCTGTTATGCTAATGAGTTCCTGCTGGGTGTGGCCAACTCGGGAGCCAGCCGGAACTCCGTTCCTGTGCGTTCCTGCCCCAAAATAGCCCTGAGCAAACTCTTATATATTCTTAAAGAGCTGGGATCGAAAAGTACTTGATACAAAGGGGGAAACTCTAAGTGAAGTCCACAAATCCTTTGTATAAAAAACTTCAGGAGAACAAAGGTTCTGCGTCTTGCAGGGGCAGCAGCTGTACATGGCTGGCTTCACTGCCGCGTCCGCGTTCTGTAACACCGCAGCATCACAGCAACACTGCTTTTTCTCTCATTTTGCTCCCACAAGTTCACCAAACGGCAGCAGGAGCCCCGAGGCCGGGACAGAAGGTCTCCGTTTTGTCCAGGGGAACTTATCTCTGTAGTCTGGAGCAGGGTTCCCTCTAAGCTGAGGTAGTGTGAGCTAGCTCACAGTTTTTTAGCCTCCAGCTCACAGATTTTTGTCTTAGCTCAGGAAGGAGGGCTCCAGAGCAAACTAATTTATGCAGCAGCCAAATCAGTTGCTCACAACTTTAATGCCAGTAGCTCACAAAGTAGAATTTTTGCTCACAAGACTCCACAGCTTAGAGGGAACATTGGTCTGTGATTCTAGGAACGCTCCAGGACCCGCCTGTACTTTGGCCATTTATCCCCAGAGCTTGACTACTGTCAGTTACAGGTCTTTCCTTGACAGCGACAAAGATGGAGAATGGTCGCCGGGGGGGGGCTCTTCTGCTGACAGTCCGTGGTTGACAAATTAGCTGGCCCCTTTTGAAAACCAGACCCCTGCCTCCCAACCGGCTGCCTGATGCGAATAAGGGGAGATGTGTGACGAGAATACACCCCGTGAACCACAAACATGGCTGCTCCAGTCGTATCGGAGAGCCAGCGTAGTGCAGGAGAACCAGGTTCAAATCCCCACTCTGCAGGCTCGTAGCCATGGTGGGGCTCTTGGGGCGCTGCCCCCTTGCTTAAAGGCGCAGCCCCACAAGGATTTCTCATGTAAATGCTTTCCCCCCATAATTTAAAAACATTTTTTAAAAGGTGTGTGCTTTTTTAAGCAGAGTGGGGAGCTGTCGTTGACTAATTCCCGCACTGAGCAAGGGGGTTGGAGTAGGTGACCTCTAGGATCCCTCCTAACTCTGTGTCAAGAAACCGGTCTCCTTTAAGAGAGTTTTTCTGCCTCAGTGTTAGCTTTCTTGACAGTAGAAGTCATCAGCCCTACCTGTTGGCTTGTTGCTAGAATTGTTGCTTAGGTTGGCAGAAGGGATTAACTTGCAGCAGCTGAGAACTGTCGCCTAAAGTGGCCGACGGCTTGCAATTTAGAGATCTATCCTGGTCACAGCTCTCTATTGGCTAAATGCCTTTTCTTTCTGCACTGAGAACTTCAGCCCCACCAGGGGGGAAAAACCTGCCCCACAAGCCACAAAATCCTGTCTACGGGCCTGCCACTCTGGAACAGAAGCTCGCTGGGTGACCTTGGTCAGTCACACACACTGACCCTAACCTACCTCACAGGAGTGTTGTGAGGATAAAACGGTGGAGAGGAGAATGATGTAAATTGCTTTGGGTCCCCATTGGGAAGGAAGGTTGCGTATAAATGAAATAAATATATAAACTTCTAGGTTGACCTCACCTGGGGGGCATCGGATGTCAGGAGGCAGGGGATGTTTCTAAGCGATATTTTTGCTATGTTTCGTACTCTCAAAACACTTTACAATGCGTTTGGACTAATTTGAGTGCTCGGGGCTTTTCATGGAAATCTTAGAACGGAAACCGCACCGCCTCCCGACACAGCCGTGTGTTTTGTCCCCTTCCTGTTCCTTCCAGAGGGGTTTTCTGTTCTGCATGTGTTTTGCTCCCCCTAGTGGTCAATGGGATATTACACTGGTTACATCTGGCATATTTCACCTTTCCGGGGTCCTTTTTTTAACCACTTCTTGTCCTGCAAGGACCCAAAGGTGACCAAATTGAAAATTACCACCGGGAAGGATCTGAACGCACAACACCAAGACTGGAGCCAGGATCTGGACCCTGGGTCAGCACCGGTGAGTGAGGAATCCGACGTACGCCGGACGACTCAGTGGTTCTTAGCTCTGTGTCCTCTCCTCCACTCACCTGTGTGATGTCCGGCTGCTCTGACTTCTGCCCCCCTAGACTTCGGCTCCACGTGCAACGGAAAGACCTGGTAGAGTTCTGAGGCAGTAGACTGTACTGCACCGCTTAAGACAGCAGGCAAGAGGGAAAGGCCACTTTTGAATGCTTCTCCATGCAAAAATCTCTCTGTATGTTTTCTATATGGGCTTTCCTGCATTCACATTTTCTTCCTGTGAAAGTTCCCACTTCTTCCAGAGGGGTTTTCTGTTCTGCACTAACCCTAGTGGTCAATTGGATATTACACCGGGTTTTATGTCCGCCATAAAAACCAGCAGTTTAAATCTGCAAGGAGATCCACTGGACATGAACCAGTGTAATATCGAGTCGGCCACTAGAGGGAGAAAAACCATGCGGAACAGGGAAAAGTCCCCAAAGAAACAGGAACTTACGAGAATGCAGATGTCAGGGCGAAAGGTTCATTTCGCTTCCTGCTAGGTTAGCTTTCTCTTTGCAAAGAGTTTCTTTTTAACGTTCGGAGGAGAGCGCGAACAAAATGTGGTTTCCCTCACTTGCCTCCCTAGTGGAGCGGTGCAGTCCATGCCTCGTAGCTCAGCCACCTTCTTCGGCTGCATAGACTAAAAAGACTAAATCTTTGCCTTTCACGTCTTCTCGGGGAGCAACCTCCCCTCCTGACTAACCCCGCCACTCAGTGAATGGCCATTGATGCCGCTGGCTCAGGCTGCCACCAGGACTAATTCCTGCCTACCTTTTGCCCCTTGAGACGAGTCGGGTTTGCAACCTCTTCTCGTCTTCCTTTTCAGGCTTCCTACTTCATCGGCCCCGATCACAGCAAACTGCCCACCATCCCAGAGAGTGTAAGTCGTGTCGCTGGCATTGTGGACTTTTGCAGTGGGGTGGGGTATGTGTGTGTGATATACTTTTGCAGTGGGGTGGGGTATGTGTGTGTGATATACTCCGCATAGGCAGCTTTCCTGGCGATCACACCCCCTGGGTTGCAGAAGTGGGGATGTGGCTGTGGCTGTTATGCTGTGAAAGGTGCTCGGCATATGCTCGAAATCAGGGGTCATTTCGTAGAAAAAGAGGTGCAGGAGCTCATTAGCATACATCATCATCATCATCATCATCATTATTATTATTATTATTATTATTATTGATAATGATAATAATGATAATAATATTTCAATTTATTAATCACTTAATCCTGCAGAACTTGCTGGCTCTGAGCGATTTACAGTTACTCATTCAACGCGGGACTAACAATGATTTATGGGGGTAAGGGAGGACAACATATATCTTTTTAATCACACACTTCACAGTCGGTGAGGGTTTGATCAGCTGCAGGGTCAGACGTATTCTGTTGGCATCACCTTGGCTTGGCTAGATGACATCAGCTTCTCCAGGTCTTGCAGCGCCGCACTGCCACCGCATGGCCGGAATGGCCCATTACAGGCTTCAGAGTCGAAGAGATTTTTTTTTTTAAGGCTTATAATCTCGCGAGCTGGGCTTTGACGTGCAGATCTGTCCTCGCAGAGGAAGGAGAGCTTGTACCTGAATAAAACTTGGTCTTAAAGGTGCCACTGGACTGTTTGGGGCCGGGGGGGCCGGAGGGGGGCTCTGCAACTTACCTGGCTGCTTCTTGTTCTGACTGAGGGCTGCTGGGAGCAGGGGGTGGGGGTTGTTGCATGTGCCCGCCCCCTGGGCTCTTTACTGCAGGAGCTCCGCTCCTGTGCGCTCCTGCAGGAAATGACCCCTGCTCGAAATGCATTTGATATTTCACATGCTTGAGGCTTGACCTGGATGGCTCAGACTTGCTCGATCTCGTCAGATCTCAGAAGTTAAGCAGGGTCGGCCCTGGTTAGTGCCTGGGTGGGAGACCACCAAGGAAGTCCAGGGTTGCTACGCAGAGGCAGGCAATGGGCAAACCCCCTCTGTTTTTTCTCTTGCCTTGACCTGGACGGCCCAGGCTAGCCCAGGCTAGAGAGAGTTCCCAGGGCCTCACTCTCCTTCTCTGTCCACCCCCTGGCACTCGTGCCCTCCTTCCAGTTTGGGGTAGTGATTAGGAGCGCAAACTCTAATCTGGGAGGACCGGGTTGGATTCCCCACTCCTCCTCCACATGCAGCTGCTGGTGTGACCTTGGGTCAGTCACAAGTTCTCTCAGAGCTGTTCTCTCAAGGGCAGTCCTCGAGAGAGCTCTCTCAGCCCCGCCTACCTCACAGGGTGTCTGTTGTGGGGAGGGGAAGGGGAAGGAGTTTGTCAGCCGCTCTGAGACTCCTTCGGGTAGTGAAGGGGGAGGTATAGATCCAATCTCTTTTTCTTCTCTTCATTTGGGGGAATTCCTAGAGCCCATCACATTGCAGGGTTCCAATGCAGTTTGGTGTAGTGATTAGGAGCGCAGACTCTAATCTGGGAGGACCGGGTTGGATTCCCCACTCCTCCTCCACATGCAGCTGCTGGTGTGACCTTGGGTCAGTCACAAGTTCTCTCAGAGCTGTTCTCTCAAGGGCAGTCCTCGAGAGAGCTCTCTCAGCCCCGCCTACCTCACAGGGTGTCTGTTGTGGGGGGGGGAAGGGAAAGGAGATTGTCAGCCGCTCTGAGACTCCTTCGGGTAGTGAAGGGTGGGGTATAAATCCAATCTCTTCTTCTTCTTTTACCTCACAGGGTGTCTGTTGTGGGGAGGGGAAGGGGAAGGAGTTTGTCAGCCGCTCTGAGACTCCTTCGGGTAGTGAAGGGGGAGGTATAGATCCAATCTCTTTTTCTTCTCTTCATTTGGGGGAATTCCTAGAGCCCATCACATTGCAGGGTTCCAATGCAGTTTGGTGTAGTGATTAGGAGCGCAAACTCTAATCTGGGAGGACCGGGTTGGATTCCCCATTCCTCCTCCACATGCAGCTGCTGGTGTGACCTTGGGTCAGTCACAAGTTCTGTCAGCGCTCTCAAGGGCAGTCCTCGAGAGAGCTCTCTCAGCTTCCCCTACCTCACAGGGTGTCTGTTGTGGGGAGGGGTCCTCAACTGGGCAGATCGGATATAATAGTAAACAGAAAAATACAGAAAATGGGGGTGGGTGCAGTGTGCAACTCGGTTCTCAAAACAAAGTTTGAGTCCAGTGGCGCCTTCCAGACCACCAGAGTTTTATTCTAGGTGTAAGCTTTCGTACGCACGCATGGGAATGAGTTTGGTGCAGTGGTTAGGAGTCAAATAAAGGGCCGATATTAAAAACTACGTTAAAACTTATAATATACAAAAATACATGTATTTATCAGAAAGACAGTTAAAGACATATAAGGGCCTTGTAGTTCTTGATTCCAGTTTTTGGGTCAGGTCTGTTTCCCTCTCCCTGTGCCTTACTGCAGTGGTTAGGAGCGCAGACTCTAATCTGGGGGGGACCGGGTTCGATTCCCCACCCACCGCATGCAGCCAGCTGGGTGACCTTGGGTCAGTCACAAGTTTTCTCAGCGCCGCTCTCTCAGGGGCAGTCCTCGAAAGAGCTCTCTCGGGCCCACCAACCTCCCGGGGTGTCAGTTGTGGGGAGGGGAAGAGACAGGAGACCGTAAGCCACTCCCGAGTGAAGGGCAGGGTATACATCCAATCTCCTCCTCTTCTCCTCCTCCTCCTCCTCCTCTTCTTCCTTCCCACCCACCTGCATGCCTCCCCCTGCTCATGCGCCCTTCCCTTGCCTGCTCCCAGTGCCCATGTTCCCAGCACCAGCTCTTTTCCCAGTGGCGCCAGGGAGCACGGGTGGTAGAATAGGAAGGGGGTGCTGCCAGCAAAGGGGCCCTGCCGGAAACCGTGGGCCCCAGCAGGTGCCCCCCCAGTGGTATGCTGACGCCAGCCCCGTAGCCAGAGATGGCGCGGGAGCCCCAGAAGGGAGAACCGGGGAGCACGCGGCACCGTCTTTTCCCCTCTGAGGCTAACTGCTCTCCCCTCCTAGAGGAACCTAACCGAGTTCGTCGTGGCTGTGGACGTGAACAACATGCTGTGGCTGTACGCCAGCCTGCTGCACGAGAGGCGGATCCTGCTGACCACCAGCAAGCTCAGCACGGTAAGGGGGAGTGGCGGCAGGGAGGGGCCGTGGAGCTCGCCCACCTCTCACGCGGCTGAGCGAACACGAGGGCAGCTTTGGACAGGGGACACCACGACCCTTAATGGTTTGGGACCATCAAACCTGTGGGACCACCTCTCCTATTACAACACACACACGCGCGCTCACTTTGCCAGGCACTGTGCCCAGTGTCTTCCAAAGGTTATCTTAATGAAGGTCCTGCCCCCTTTTTCTCTTTGCAGCTCACAGCCTGCGTGCAAGCCTCTGCCGCCATGTTGTATCCCATGCACTGGCAACACATCTACATCCCTGCCTTGCCTGCACACCTCCTGGACTTCTGCTGGTGAGAACCTTCCCTTCCTTCCTTCCTTCCTTCCTTCCTTCCTTCCTTCCTTCCTTCCTCTCCTCTCCTCTCCTCTCCTCTCCTCTCCTCT